AGATCAATCCCAGGCAGACCCCAGGTCGCAGGCAGATCCCAGATGGATCTCAGATGGATCCCAGAGCCCAGATGGATCTTGGGCAGATCCCAGACAGACCCCAGGCAGACCCCAGGCCCCAGGCAGATCCCAGACTGATCCCAGATGGACCCCAGGCAGACCCCAGACCCCAGACAGACCCCAGGCAGACCCCAGGCAGACCCCAGACCCCAGGCAGAGCCCAGATGGACCCCAGGCAGACCCCAGACCCCAGGCAGAGCCCAGGCAGAGCCCAGCAGAGCAGCAGCAGCCCCGGGGCCGGGCTCACCTTCTGGGCCCCGGAGAAGGCGTGGTAGAAGCAGGACACGTAGGTCATGATGGCCTTCTCGTCGGGCCTCAGCGTGCCCACGATGTCTGAGGCACCAGGGCAGGGAGAGAGCACAGGGACAAAGCTCCAGCAGCGCCCCCACATTCCCACACAGCTCCCCCATTCCTGGGGCTGGGATCCAACCCCCCCCAGGCCGGCTCACGGGGGGGTTTGTGCTGCCCTGACCCCGATCCTCAAAGCCCCGGGGCCTCCTGGAGCCCCGGCCTTGCCCTGCTCCTGGATCTCCTGTGCATTTCCCCATGGATTTCCACGGAATTCTGTGGATTTCCTGTGGATTCCCACTGATTTCCTATGAATTTCCCATGGATTTCCACGGAATTCTGTGGATTTCCACTGATTTGCTACGAATTTCCCATGGATTTCCATGGAATCCTGTGGATTTCCCATTAATTTCCCATGGATTTCCTGTGGGTTTCTATGAATTGCCAAGGATCCCCATGGATTTCCTGTGGATTCCCACAAATTTTCTATGGATTTCCATGGATTCCTCATGGAATTCCTCATTTATTTCCTATGCATTCCCACGGGTTTTCCATGGATTCCTCATGGAATTCCTCATTTATTTCCTGTACATTCCCACGGATTTTCCATGGATTCCTCATGGAATTCCTCATTTATTTCCTATGCATTCCCACGGGTTTTCCATGGATTCCTCATGGAATTCCTCATTTATTTCCTATGCATTCCCACGGATTTTCCATGGATTCCTCATATATTTCCTACACATTCCCATGAATTTTCCATGGATTCCCACAATTTTTTCCCAGGGATTTCCCACGAATTTCCTGTGGATTCCCACGGGTTTTCCATGGATTCCCCACAAATCTGGGGACCCCCCCTCCTCAGGCAGATTTAACCCCTCGTGAGCCAGAGCCGGGGGCGATCCCGGAGCCCCTCCCCGAGCGACAGCGGCCGCGGCTGCAAGAGAAAGCGAGCGTGAGAGCGCCGAGAGAAAATTCCAGAAGGACGGATCCGGGAGGAAGAGGAGGAGGAGGAGTCCAGGGGGCGGGGCCGGGAGGAAGGCCCGGGCGGGGCCGGACGCTCCCGGTACCTTCTGGGCCCCGGAGAAGGCGTGGTAGAAACTGGAGACGTAGGTCATGATGGCCTTCTCGTCTGGGCGAGCCGTGTTCACAATGTCTGCCAGGAACCGCACGGGTTAAACTGGGAACAGACTGGGAACGGGCTGGGAATGGGCTGGGAGCAAACTGGGAATGGACTGGGAGGAACCACATGGGTTAAACTGGGAACGGGCTGGGAACGGGCTGGGAACGGGCTGGGAGCAAACTGGGAATGGGCTGGGAATGAGCTGGGAGCAAACTGGGAACGGGCTGGGAGCGAGCTGGGAGCAAACTGGGAACGGGCTGGGAGCAAACTGGGAACGGGCTGGGAGCAAACTGGGAACGGGCTGGGAACGGACTGGGAACGGGCTGGGAACGGACTGGGAATGGGCTGGGAGCAAACTGGGAACGGGCTGGGAATGGACTGGGAACGGACTGGGAAGAGGCTGGGAACAGACTGGGAGCAAACTGGGAACGGGCTGGGAGCAAACTGGGAATGGACTGAGAGCAAACTGGGAACGGGCTGGGAGGAACCACATGGGTTAAACTGGGAACAGACTGGGAGCAGACTGGGAACGGGCTGGGAACAAACTGGGAACAGACTGGGAGCAGACTGGGAACGGGGCTGAGATTCTGCTCCAAGGGCTCCCCAGGCCTTGGGGAAGGCACCTGGGTGGGCACAGGTTGGTGCTGAAGGGGAAAAAATCGGGGTTAGGTCAAGAGGATCCTCTGGGGATGCTGGAATTGTGGAATCCTGGAATTGTGGGGTCAAAGAATTGTGGGATCAAAGAATTGTGGGATCCTGGAATTCTGGAATTGTGGGGTCAAAGAATTGTAGGATCAAAGAATTGTGGGATCAAAGAATTGTGGGGTCCTGGAATGATGAAATCCTACAATTATGGGATCCTGGAACTGAGAGATCAAAGAGTTGTAGGGTCCTGGAACTGTGGAATCCTGGAACAATGAAACCCTACAGTTGTGGGATCCTGAAATTGTGGAGTCCTGGAATAATGAAATCCAAGAACGATGGGATCCTGGAATAAAGGAATCCCAGATTTGTGGGATCCTGAAATTGTGAGGCCCTGGAATAATGAAATCTGAGAATTGTGGGATCCTGGAAAAAGGGAATCCCAGATTTGTGGGATCCTGGAATGATGAAATCCTACAATTGTGGGATGTCAGAAGAAAAGAATCCCAGATTTATGGGATGCTGAAATTGTGGGGTTGTTCAGCTGTGGAGTCCTGGGAATTCTGAGGTCCTGGAATTCCAGGATGGTGGAATCAAAGAACTGTGGAATCCCACGAGTGTGGGAATGCTGCAACTGTGGGAGCAACAGGACCCTGGGGTCCTGGAATTATGGAAAATTGGGATGGGGATGTCTGAGAATTGTGGGATCCAAGAATTCCTGGATCCCTGGGATTGGGTAATTCCAGATTTAAGGAGTCCTGGAGTTACAGGATCTGAGATTTGTGGGATCCAGGGTTTTTCAGGGATCCTGGAACTGCAAAATCCACACACTTATGTACTGGTTAAACTGGCAACAAACTGGGGGGGAACGTCTCTGGCAGCTGCAATTCCACCCTGAGGATCCCAAATCCTGGATAAATCCACCTGGACAGGTGGGAATTGGTGCTAAACAGGAAAAGCTCCAGGTGAAATCAGCGGCTCCCTCCGAGGAAATCCCGGGATCCCGCGGGAATTCCAGGCTTACCCTCGGCATCCAACATCTTGGGAATGTCCAGGTACTTCTCAGCCACCTCGAAGGCGTTGTTGAGGTTGGTGACGGGATCATCCTGGGGGAGAGGAGGCTCCGTGGGTCGGGAATTCCCGGAATTCCCGGGGTTTCCCAGGGAAAGGGGGGAGGGATTTACCTTGCGGAGTTTGTCGTACTCGATCAGCTCCGGGCGGTGCCGGTGGATGAGGGCGTTGAAGGCCAGCCCGTCCTTCCAGCTGGGGGAAAA